GTATTCTGAGCCCTTTAGATAAATGAAATGGAGGACAGGAATAGTAAGGTCATGGGCTCAATTTCTTTTTGAGCTCATTATTGCAAAAAGAGAAACAAAACAAAAGCATACCGTTAGTGATAAATGGAGTTATAACAATAGTATCAGACAAAGCTATAGACTTTTTAAAAAGATTCCAAGTATTTTTGCTGACAGCATCATCTTTGGGTCATTGTCCTTTTCCTTTTCAGTCTTTCAAGTTTTTTACCAATCGCTCCCTCTACCTCAGAGGTTGGCAAACTTTCCATAAAGGGTTAGATAGTAAATTACTTTAGGCTGTGGGCCAGATGGTCTCTGTTGCAACTATTTAACTCTTCCATTGTAGCACAAAAGTAGCTAAACACATTATGTAAACAAATGTCTGGCTGTGTTCCAATAAAACTTTATTTACAAAAATAGATGGCAGGCTGAATTTAGCCTGCAGACTTGGTTTGCCAACCACTGCTCTACCATATCCATATCGCTTCATTTTTACTCCTCCACTTAATTTGCTTCTTATTATGTGTTACTTTCACCTCCCATCAAAAATGCTATTCCCTATCACCCTGCATCACTTCCATATTTCACTTAAAAGCTACTATATTTAGCAAAACTTTGTTTTCTATCTAGAAGTTTTCCTGTTTGCCCTTGCTTGAAATACAGGTCTAGAAGAGGTACCAAGCAAAATATTTCACTTAAAACATTCAGAAAATGATTGAGACTTTTAGGTTAGAAGGTTACAAAAGAAAGGCTATTTGAATAAAAAACTTTCAATTTACCTGGCTCCAAGTTGAAGCATCTTTGGTCCTATACTGAATGTCATATTTCAGTCTCATAACACTCGCAATATGTGAGTTGATCCATGTCAATTTTAAGATACTAGACAGTTCCTCTGAGTTGCTGACTGATAAGCTACGTGGTGGAATGGGCTTCACTAAAGAATAAAATAAATCCTAATGTTTATCAACTTCTTATACAAACTCAAATATACACTTTATATTTTCTTTATTTCACAATATTCATTTATTTTCACTAAACGAACTAATGTCTCTGAAAACAATGCTATGCCATACTATTATAATGGAAAGGAAAAGTTTCTAAAACAACTTTCATTTTCCTTGTCAGTTTATTACATTTGTTAATCCTTTTAGGTTCAGATATCAAAATACAATTATTTATAATATATAAAATTTTTAAAAAGCAAGTAAAAATGGAACATGTATACTATTATTACAATCCTGTAAAATGTTTGATAACTAAATCCCTGAAGATAACATTCAAAGTAAAAATACATGTCACTGTGGTTGGATTATGGATATTTTTTTCCAAATTAATTTTAATGTAGTTGATAAAATGAATTCATAAAAGTCACTATAATAAAATAAACACTCGTTTTTACATTAATTACAATCTAAAAACTACTATAATAAATTCTCAAATTCAGGTTTATAACTACCTTTATCTATAGGATCAAAATTGATATGATCTGATGTAACCTTCCCAAGTGCATTCTCTGCTTCTACCCAGACTTCAATGTTGACAAAATACACAGGAGGATAATCAACAGTGCATGAGGTAGGGGTGCCACGTTTTGTTTTACAATCAGCAAACTTCTCTGTTGCCCTAAATACAAAAATGGAAGGATCAGTCATTAAAAATAGTTTTGAAAAATTAACGGTAAAAAAGTCTACCTGAAAAGACTTTGATGAAGCCCAGATTTTACAGCTTAGAATAAGTAAGTTGATTTCCATAAGTTTGGAATAAACTGTTAATCACTAACAACAAAATTT